GCTCTAATCGTCGTGCGTCCAGGATGTTTTAGCGACGCTTGCGTTACACAAAGCCGTCAATTTGGAGAGGGGAGTATAAACTCATCATTGTTAATGACAATTTGAATGGCGTACGCTATCTGGAAAAGTTCTAGCCTTTGTGCAAATACAGGATAATTCCCGTATCACTTGTTGCATGTGTTGTTACACACTTTTTGAGACAGCATAACAATGCAGTACTACCATGGCCTGCTGCCCCACATAGAACATATCTGGAATGAGATGGATCAGACGCCAACGACATGATTAGAATCAACCTGTAACGCTAGCTCAATTGGTCCAATCTTTGCTTTACATTTGCGCCAATAGTGTTGACTGGTTATTAGCGTTACGGAAGACTCCCCGAGTTAGCTCCCTTGTCTTCGCTCTCCTGTTCCGCCTTTTGTACCCGCCTCGTGGTTTTCGAAAAGAAAACCTCTGGCAACCGAAAAACCTCTCCATCTTGTGTCCCAATCGTCAGTGGTCTAAGAGTGTCCGTCAAACCTTACTGGCGTTGGAACAACATCCCCAAGGTTGTTTTCAATCATCTGGTATCTTCAGTGCACCGCCGCTGCCCCGCATGTATCAGCGCAAAATGGTGTCACACCCGATATGGATATTGTTAATTGAGTTGTTACACCATCCCTCTTTTAGGGCGTGTCGATCTGTTACCAGGTATGCGTTTCGTCAATGAATGTCTTATGATAAAACATTGAGCAGACGAATGACCAAATAGTACTATATGAATGCATTTTAGAATAAAAATATTTGTGAATATATGGATATAAGAAAATATGAGCTGTTAAGACTACAAAAGCTGTCATAAGAGATGTTTCAGTTCAAGTGATAGGAACTGTTCTCTCTTTCGCTATTTTGCATTCAAATTTACTACCTTCTATTGTAAATATAAAACGTCTTCATCATCCTCCAAAACAGATTTCATTTGCCGCAAAGGGCAATTAGCTATGAAAAGTCTATGAATGGATCACTGAAAAGCCTACCCTAACCCGAATATATTATCACCATTTGAAATTCCAGAAAAAAGCTGGAATAAATTCTTTTGCCTAAGAGTTTACAAAATTATTATTGTTGAGTTACCTGTTGTGGCAGCAAGGTCAATCTGTGAAGGTAGTTCTCCACATCTCCCCTCGTATTCATTGGGGTGCTTGTCATCCGGGTCACATCCTTCTGAACTCCCTCAAGGAAGTTGACGGGGTTCAAGTTGAGGTAACTGAAACAGGACATCATGCATTCCCATCTTGTATTGTAGAATATTATCATTACTTAGGCTACCTTAAGGGTAAAATAGATTTATTTACTCTTTATTGAATGTCTATTTGATACCGAAAAGCATTCATTCCAACGCGTCTGACTCCATACAGAAATCTGGTGATCTACGATCAGTAACTGAGGTCTTGTGAAGTAGATTTAATTTGCCCTTGTGTACAGGATTAATTTGCAGACAAAATATTATACTATGCATTTTACATTTTACTATGTTAGAATATGTTAAAATGTTAGAATATGCTAGTATCACTTCTGCCATATGAACAAAGATGTGTTTGAATCTAGACATCTCAGGTGTCATGCAACACCAGGGTCTCCCGCAGCCGTACTCCATTCGGATAAACATTTGTTTTATTTTTCTCATTAGGATCCGATACATATCAATGTATGTGCGTTTGATCGATGTAAGGAATTGATACTGCTATGTTGACAATGCATTCGGTGGATAGTGACATTACAATGGTATCTGTGGATATGTCATGTCTAAATTATTATTTCTTTTATATATCTTTTCGTAAGCTCGTTTGTGATGTCGTCAAAGTTATCACATTTTAAAATTGTGCATTTTTAGTATCAATTATTTTAATCTATTACTGAACTTACTTAAAACGTTTATATTATGAATATGTAATTGCATTAGGAGAGACGGAAAACAATTTACAATTGCGCTGCTGTGTCATACAAAGTTACTCCTTTGAAGTAACAATAGACTTGAATTTAGAGGGAGAACTCAGCTGGGCGCGTTCCTAGGAATACATCGCGTCCATGTTTGCATGGCTATGTGTTTGTCGGTCGGCTGTAAGACATATTCATAGTGTTGTTTACATAACTCTGTTGAAAGTTTGTTTTCCAAAGACAGGTAATCTAATATCTGTTTAAACTCATCCTTACAGTCAAAGCATGTTGATATAACTATCACATATCCGTTTTCAACTCACAATCGCCACTGATACCCGTCTCGAAAAGCTTCTAGTGTGTAGCGGAGTACTTTGAAGCTGATTTTATCCTGACGGGGAAGCTCCAACTCCGGGATGTTTACCAGGCGCTCGTATAGCCCGTCAACAAAGTCCTACGGCAGACAACGCCAAACAACATAACGTTATGTACACATGACCTAGTTATGTACTGCAGTTTAGATCTAAACACTTCCGTGAGTCTACATCATCACCCAAGTATGAAGACAGGTAAAGTGTTGTTTAACCTGCTCCATACACGCATGTTATCCAATCATCAATGCAACTTGCTGAAACGAAAACATATGCTGTTCAAAATAACGATTCTGTATTTTATATATTTAATACATTTAAATACATCTGCAATATAATAATCCATGTCAGTATGCACCTTAAAATGTTCATATCTGGTGTAGTTGAAGGACTTTAGGCGGTCGTTGAAGGTGTAGACGTTCCGTGATGTCGCTGATCTTGGCCGCTGACTCAGCCGCCATGTTTGGAATTCATCAGCCAAGGAAGCCAACCTTTGACTGCTTGTTTCATCTGAAGCAAAGGAACAATTATCGTGCATTACTATGCATTACTATATTACTATTTATAAAAAAGTAGGTCATCTACGGATGCTAGACTGTATACACCTATTACAATATATATCTAAGATAATGATATTGTTATGTAGCATGCTTTTAATGGAAACAGTTTGAACAATAAGCCACTTTTCCGATTTCGAAACCATTATAATATGACATGACTCTTTGAACTGACACCTTGTATAAGTTCATCAAATCAACTCTTGCAGCTGTTTTGTCAGGTCATGAGTGGACGTAAAGGTGAAGCGTCGCCTCGTCACACAATGGTACCTACCACAACCACGGTCACCAATTCATTTGTGGTGCTGGGTAGTAGTAGGGGTGGTGATTGTGGTGTTTTGTTATGGTTGTGGTGCTTTGGGATGATGGTTGTTGTGCTTGGTGATGATGGCTGTGGTGCTTGGTGATGCTGGTTGTGGTGCTTCGTGATGATCGTGGTTGTGGTGCTTGGTGATGATGGTTGTGGTGCTTCGTGGTGGTGGTTGTGGTGCTTGGTGATGATGGTAGTGGTGCTTGGTGATGATGGTCGTGGTGCTTGGGGATGATGGCTGTGGTCCTTGGTGATGGTTTGTTGTGCTTAGTGATGATGGTTGTGGTGCTTGGTGATGATGGTAGTGGTGCTTGGTGATGATGGTGGTTGTGGTGCTTGGTGATGATGGCTGTGGAGCTTCGTGGTGGTGGTTCTGGTGCTTGGTAATGGTGGTTGTGGTGCTTGGTGATGATGGTAGTGGTGCTTGGTGATGATGGTGGTTGTGGTGCTTGGCGATGATGGTAGGTGTGCTTGGTGATGATGGCTGTGGTCCTTGGTGATGGTGGTTGTGGTGCTTGGCGATGATGGCTGTGGTCCTTGGTGATGATGGCTGTGGTCCTTGGTGATGATGGCTGTGGTGCTTGGTTATTATGGCTGTGGTCCTTGGTGATGATGGTAGGTGTGCTTGGTGATGATGGCTGTGGTCCTTGGTGATGATGGTATAGATGCTTGGTGATGATGGTGGTTGTGGTGCTTGGTTATTATGGCTGTGGTCCTTGGTGATGATGGTAGTGGTGCTTGGTGATGATGGCTGTGGTCCTTGGTGATGATGGTAGTGGTGCTTGGTGATGATGGCTGTGGTCCTTGGTGATGATGGTATAGATGCTTGGTGATGATGGTGGTTGTGGTGCTTGGTTATTATGGCTGTGGTCCTTGGTGATGATGGTAGTGGTGCTTGGTGATGATGGCTGTGGTCCTTGGTGATGATGGTAGTGGTGCTTGGTGATGATGGTGGTTGTGGTGCTTGGCGATGATGGTAGTGGTGCTTGGCGATGATGGTAGTAGTCCTTGGTGATGATGGTAGTGGTGTTTAGTGATTATGGCTGTGGAGCTTCGTCGTGGTGGTTGTGGTGCTTTATGATTATGGTGGTGGTGCTTGGTGATGGTTTGATGTTCTTGTTTGGTGATGGTGGTGTTTCGTTGTAGTGGTGGCTTTGGCACTTTACGGTGTTTGTTGATGCTTTGTTTGGTGTTTATCATGCTGGTGGTTGTGTGGTGGCGGTAGTTGGTGATGTTTGTGCTGGTGTTTTTTTGCGGTGCTTGATGGTGCTGCTAGATTGTGGTGTTTGGTGGTGGTGCTTTGTGATGATGTTGATGTTTGTGGTATTGCAGTTTGTGCAGATGGTGCTAAGTGTTTGGTGATGGTGGCGCTTACGGTGCTTGTAGTGGTGATGCTTTGTGGTTAGTGCTTGGTGTTCTTGTGTGGCGATGGTCAATCTTTCCGAGATATATGAGCATTTCTTTTGTGTGTGTGTGACGAGCACCATTTCTGTCACCTGTGATAAGTGCCGCCTTAACATCAACTGTTCTCAGGTGAAGCATATTCACAACAATTAAATTAGTTCATAAAAATGGCGTAAATTATGCAACTATACAAAACAAACAACTACCCAATCAAAAGCCCATTTATGCGTTTTTGCTTGGTAGTGGTTGTAGGGTTGTCGTGCTTTGTGATGACAGGTTGTTGTGCTGGTCGTGGTGCTTGGTGGTGGCCGCGGTAATGGTGGTGATTGGGATGCTTGGTGGTGGTTGTGGTGGTTGGTGGTATTGTCGTTGGTGGTGCTTTGTTGCTTTGTTGTTGTTAATCTTGATAGTGATGGTGGCGATGGCGATGGTGCTGTTCTATGGCGGTCCTGGGTTTTCTGGTGATGATGCTCGATGGGGGCGGTGATGGTACTTGGTGAAGGTGCTGGTTGATGTAGTGTTTTCTGGTGGCGATGCTTGATGGTGGCGATGGTGGAACTTGGTGAAGGTGCTGGTTGATGTAGTGTTTTCTGGTGGTGATGCTCGATGGGGGCGGTGATGGTGCTTGGTGCAGGTGCTGGTTGATGTAGTGTTTTCTGGTGATGATGCTCGATGGGGGCGGTGATGGTGCTTGGTGAAGGTGCTGGTTGATGTAGTGTTTTCTGGTGGTGATGCTCGATGGGGGCGGTGGTGGTGCTTGGTGCAGGTGCTGGTTGATGTAGTGTTTTCTGGTGATGATGCTCGATGGTGGCGATGGTGGTACTTGGTGAAGGTGCTGGTTGATGTAGTGTTTTCTGGTGATGATGCTCGATGGGGGCGGTGATGGTACTTGGTGAAGGTGCTGGTTGATGTAGTGTTTTCTGGTGATGATGCTCGATGGGGGCGGTGATGGTACTTGGTGAAGGTGCTGGTTGATGTAGTGTTTTCTGGTGATGATGCTCGATGGGGGCGGTGATGGTACTTGGTGAAGGTGCTTGTTGATGTAGTGTTTTCTGGTGATGATGCTCGATGGGGGCGGTGGCAGTGCGTGTTATTGGTGATGGAACTGGTTTGTGGTGCTTTGTTGTGATGTTGGGTTATTGTGCGTGGTTATGCTTGGCTGTGATGCTAGGTTTTGGTGCTTGATGATGGTGGTGGTTGTGGTGGTGACGCTTGGTAGTGATTGTGGTGCTCGGTGTTGGTTGTGGTGTTTGTTGCTGGTGATGGGTTGTGGCGCTTGGTGATGATGCTAGGCTGTGGTGCTTGGTTGTTGATGGTTGTGCTTGGTGGTTGTGAAGCATGTTGACCTGTGTTGATACCGTTGGCCGTCACAACGAGGAAAGTTTCTGGACTAATTGGTTTTCAAAAATATAATTTGACATGTTCTGTGTTTTATGAAATGTTGACCTGTGTTGATACCGTTGGCCGTCACAACGAGGAAAGTTTCTGGACTAATTGGTTTTCAAAAATATAATTTGACATGTTCTGTGTTTTATGAAATGCAAAATATTCTGTAATCGGAGAGATACGCAAAGCAACATTCAAAGCTATTTTAATGCCATTGTGGTGGATCTAGAAGTCATTGAACATCTGTTTAATTATCAATTATTGAAATAACTAAAGTTGTTCATTCTACACTGATTGTTGTATTAAGTGACATGATGCCTAGTAGACAACCACATAAGTGTTATAAAATGTTAAAGGTGCTTGATGATAACAGTAAAAATAATTGGTTTTCAGATATGAGAAATGCATCATATTTTGTTGAGGCTTTTCATATGTGTGGATTTCCAAGGATGTGGCAGATTCACATATATCTATAAATTCAATTAACCAGGACTAAAGGATACGTTTTGTCAGCAGTGGCATCAGACTATTTCCTCATCACTTCATTTTTACGGCAAAGTGAATTAAATCACTGTAGCAAACTGAAAGATATTTTACTTGTTTAAACGATAAAAGATTATTCAGAGTGTATTGTAAATATAGACTGTCTTCGCACAATATTAATGTAAACGTATGTCACAGGTACAAAGACGGAAATAGTGTATCCGGAGAAATAGAGGACGAATACCATATTTTACTCAGACAATGATTCTCACGAAGTTGAAACCATAAGAAGTGGAAACACCTCTTATGTATATACTTTCATTTGGCCCCGGCATGCTCATTAAAATATTATCATTATTGTATACCTGATAAGTATAATCCAGTAGAAGACACTCAAACATTGCCTTGGTTTCCAGATACATGATACATGGTAAATTTGACAAGATAAAAAGTCACATTAATACATTACTGACAAAGCCGTCAATACTCAAATGAGTACTTATCAGAGCGTTCCAAGTGCTAATCCCGACCAAACAATAATTGCCACAATTATCAACAATCCACAGTTGACATTGCGCCATTGTTAGCGGAATAAGGGTAATAATCATTAAATGTGTTCTTGAAATGTGATGATAAAACTTATTTAATGTTTATTTCGTGTTAAATTTAAACCTGAAATACAGATTGTAAACCTCAAGACTGTTATCGTAGTTATTTTTTTCTCATATCAATGTACGTGTGTGTGAAAACGCATGTAGAGCGTGAGGAAGATCATTCAATAATGGTGGAGAAAGTAGACATTGTTTCCCGGTTCCTTCAGTTTCTACCTCTCAGGGTTTCACTATATTAGAAAAAGTATTTTCATTTCTCTCCTTGTTGCTGGGTATCTTTAAAGACCGCCAGTTAAAGATAATCTGCTAAACGATCCAAGCTGTTGCTGTATTTTTAAAATATGTCTTTATGATGAGAAAATCAAACATGTACATCAAGTGACAAACGTCATCATAAATCTGCAGTGCCCCTGTGGGCATTGATGCCTAAATTCTGGAATAAACTCCTTGGTCCCACTTGTACTGTGTATGTGTCTGTATGTGACTTTGTATTACCACAGGGACAGCCTATTTCAAGAATTTCAATTTGTGTATGTAAATATATTAAACTTTTGCAGCTTACAAATAAATTGTCTATCAGGCTGAATTTCAAACATCAGACGCTTCGAAACGGTCTGCCCATCTGTTGTGTGTTACCTGTGATAAATACCTGCGATTTCCTTGTGCAATAACATGTTTATGAGTGTGAGTGGGGATAGTGTTTAACACCTTATTTACACCTTGCTAGGTGTTGAAAATCAGGTGTCTTTCACGTTATCAGGTGTACCATCATTGTCTCCATCCGTTTCCTGTATGTCTCACAGTAGCATCACATTTGTAATTACTATGATTGATTTGTAGTCCTTGCTGCAATCACCTGTGCTACGGACTTTGTGGATGTCACATTTATATCTCATTCTTTCAAGCCCCCTATCATAGCAGGGATTATATATGATGTGTTGTACGTCCTGGTGGTATAAAGCTAATTACGTCAAGTGCATTATATCCTTATTTGATGCACTCAGTTTATAATTACCTATTGACAGATTTAAGAGTTCAATTCACGCCATGATACAACTGGAATACTGTTAAAAGTGGCGTTAAGCCAAACCCACTCACTAAGAGTTAAATTTCTGGCCACGTTTATATATTTGTGTACGTTATCTCCCACAACATGCATCAACAAACAAAAGTAAACACATGCAAAGCAGAAAATGGTTCTGGTTAAAATAAGGTATTTGCGCTAACATCTGTTGTGTCACTGCTGTGACAATTCTGAAACTTCTTCAACAAAACGTTTTGAAAGTCTTACTATGGCCTTTAATGCTGTAACCCTGACGAATCAACGTTTGACGCTCCTTGAAATCTTCATTACAAGAGCACGCACGATTGGCCCCAAAAAGTTGTTAAATGTAGATACCAAAGGCTGCAGCTGCTGAACTATTTCTCGACAGTAAAAAGCTGAAGTAATCCACCTTGTCATACAGCCTTGTGATATTGTTTGACAACCCGAATCTTAATGCCTAGATCTTAATATGAAATAAATGAGGCGGTTTTACTGGTCACTTATATTTCTAGCGCAGATGGGTAATTCTGATAAATAGAATTAAATACTAGTATTTGACCGTTATTGAACGATACAAGATCATCGATATACCTGAAGCTAAAGGTAAACTTCTTGACCAAATTCCTTGTGTTTGACAAGTTTGACCTATTTTAACGCAAATCGAGAAATAAAGTTCAAAACATACATCATTCTTCATCCACGACTACGAATGAAGTGGGCTTGATTCAAAATGTTATTCCCGTCATCGGTTCATCACTTACTTGCAGTTGTACTCTGGACAGACTTTTTTGTAAATGAATAAACATAACTTACCAACACCTTGTGTTAACTCCACATTAAGGAGTAGCAAAACGCAGACGCCCCAAAGCAGCATTCTGAAACAAACAGAATAATTTCAACATGAACATGACCAATGCAGAATATGTAACTTGCAAAGTGATATACGTTTATAAAACGACGCACATATAACAGATAAGCAAGAAAATAATGTATGAGATCATTCCCGTCTGGCGTTTGTGGCATTATCTATATAAGAAATATGCTCACTGTAAATTGTATATGTCATGGGTGATAACGTGTGCTGTTTTATATGAAATATTTTATAGCAAAGGAAAATATTTGTTGTCGTATATGCCAGAACTACGACAAGGTCGCATCACATACATTTCCAGTCAGCCATTACAAAACACACACAAGTGACTAAGGCATTCTGAAGCGTAACCGACATAACGTGGTGCCGACATTCAGGGTCAGGCACTGCATGTACCATGCATACATAATACTCACGTCCGCAAACGCCAGCCCAGGTTGTTGCCGGTTAGAAGATTAATACAATACAATATAACTGTTGAGTTCATGTTCAAGGGTCATCCAAGGTGACCAGTGCAGTTTCATATGCCGTACAATTTAACCAAAGTAAGATACTGTAGTATTATCCTGAAGTACCACTGTGTCACGGTTCAAAAGCCATCTATACATTTTCCCAGACACAAAGTTTGTCTGATGTGAGAAAGTAAACAGCTGCACCGCGACATGATGGAAACCCTACCTGATGAATGCAATGCCACTCCGTAATTGGTGAGAGTTAAGTGTTGATGCGACTGTGAGTGGGGGCACTATTCTTGTAATATATACTTTTAACTGTTTGATTGGCGTTCTAGAAGTTGGCGAGTAAATAAGAAAACATACAACTTTATGGCTACCAACTTCTGGTTTATAACAGTGTAAGATTATACATCGAAACGTTGCTGAATACAATAAACCAGAAGTTGTTACCAATAAAGTTGTACGTTTTCTTATTCATCCACTTTTGTACTAATAATGAACCCATCCATACGGCGATCCTTACACACGCGCATGCAGTGTACGTACGCATAGGCACACCAGGAAATATGCTTAAATATTCCACATTCTAATACTTGGATTAATCCCGGAGCAGATAAAAGGTTTATATGTGCCAACTGAATCATCGACAGGACGTCACTCGTTCACGCCATCTCTAGAGAGTTATACGTGTTATAATTCACATGTGCCTATACTTGTACGAATGTTGGAATAAGCGAGTGAATATGGTTTTACGCCGCTTTTGCAATATTCAGGCAATATGACGGCGACGCACACAAAGTTGAAGTTCATACATTGCACGCAAGTAGGAATCAAACCCGGGCTGAACGCTTTCCCTCCGGGCATATGGTGCGATATACACTGTGTGAGAGCCTATGTACATCACTCCATATGCCACTCGAGATCGGTTGACAGCTTATCATGTCAGATACATTCAGATATACATTTGACATTTACTGAGAATCTGTGTCATGGAAAAGATGAAAAATCGACCTATCAAAAAGAGAAGCATATTTCATTTTTTCTTTATAATAATACAAATTACAGAATAGAATGTCTAACATTAACCATTAAAAACACCAGCGGCAGCGATACAGATGCTTACTTGTCAACAGTTAGTCTTTCAGCACGAGAGAGAAGGTTGTGTACAGCCTGTCCTGGATGCAGCTACACCTCACGATCGCGACGGTCAGTACACCAATACGTTCATTCTTGAGGAGTATCTTATTCATTGTTAAAGTCTGACATCAGGTAAAACAATATTTTATGTTTTTGAAAAATCATCGATGATCTTCTCATCGGTTGTTTTTGTTATGTGCTATCCAGCACTGTATCTCCCTGAGTTGCATCCCTGAGCCACATATAGCCTCACTGATTTCAAAGTCATGTTATTCAACATCCAAAGGCTCTACATTGGCAATACTTCAAATGATGCACTTCCTAATAACTCACATAGCCTTTGTTCCTTTCATTATAAAAAGTGCTAACACCACTAAAATATTTCTTGTTAATTCACACTCAACATGGGAATACCTCCGTTGTACATACACAGTGATTGCTTATATACACTTCCAACTCGTCGCGTATTGAAAGCTTTAATCTACATGCATCGCAAAATGGCGGAAAATCGTTTGTTGCTTACAAGTGAATAAAATAGTTACGATGTACAAATCTTTACTAAACGATTATCGTCAAATATGCATAGAAATGTCTATTCCACATCAATGAAATGAACTCACCCTTTCAGTTATCGCCAAAATGCAACCCACACTATGCATAACATATAACCTAGTTCCTGTCATAAATTCACTTGGAATCATGTACTTTGATACATCTCGTTATCTGGAACTACATAAACTGTGCCATCTCGTTATCTGGAACTACATAAACTATGACATCTCATCATCTGGAACTACAAAAACTGTGACATCTCGGAAAAGGTATGTTGTTTACATTTGTATGGAATGATTGTAAAGCTATCATGTGTTTTCGACTCGCAGTTTGGCATACATCATTATCGGTCATACAATGTTTCAGCAGTGTTTGCTGGGATCTGCTGCTGAGAAAATTCACGTGACAAACACTCGTTTCATGATACAGTTTACTGTCGAATCGTTTTCTTCAACATGCCGTCTATTGGCCGGGGTTATACCTCTGCTAAGTATTGTCGTAAACTTGAGATACCTTAGCGCTAAGGCATGTTTGAGAATAGGCTAACATATTTCTTTTGCTACGACACCTTTACGTCCATCTTTGCACTAATACAGGTTCGCCAAATTGCCACTTGAACTGCAGACACTATGACGGCTCGTCATCTGCAACTACGTACACTCGATGAATTAATTGCTTGAGACAATCCATAATTTGGTCGAATCACTGAAAACAAATCACCCCCATGGGGATCCTGGGTCAGAATAGGTCCGGGCAACGTAGGCCGGTAAGAAGCGATAAGATAGATCAGGTCACGACGCGGGGATTTGGTTTATTGCGTGTCATCGTACCCCGACGGTGTATATCGCTGCTCATGATATATACCATTGGTTCATCTCGTTCTGTTTACATGCCGACGCCATGTAGCTGGGATATTGCTGAGTGCAACGTTAAACAACAAACAAACAAAAAAAAGACGAAAGAAGTTCGCAATTTGTCACGTAATATCTGCCATGAGAGTGACAAGGTTTAACTGTAATTAGCACGATTTGAGAGTGACAAGGTTTAACTGTACTTAGCACGATTTGAGAGTGACAAGGTCTTACTGTACTAACGAGTCGATTGGCTTGGACTGTATTGCACCAGTTATTAAAGGACACGTGTATTTCTTTTCATGATAACCTTGCGAACTTTTGTTTGATAGACATACAAGGGGAAGCCGAGCAATTTTCAGTTGACCTGGCAGACTGCAGACCGAATGTCAACGTACCTCGACGACGCTGGACTATGTTTACCTATTGACCACTGGTTTTACTTGTCAAGATTTATTTTCAGGCCGTGGTGATTCATTATATAAAATCTAAAGCACAACAGAACAAATTGCAATGCAGCCCAAATCTGGATCCCGTGAAGATTTTGGGTACCTATGCTTGCCGTAAAAGGCGACTATGCTTGTTGTAAGAGGGGACTCACGGGATCGGGTGGTCAGGTTCGCTGACTTGGTTGTTGCATGTGATCGTATCCCAATTGCGTGGATCGATGCTCACTGGATTGTCTGGTCCAAACGCGATTATTTTCAGGCCGCCATCATATAGCTAGAGTATTGCTGAGTGGGGCAGTAAACATCAAACAAACAAAGTGAATTCGATGCATTTGTACCTCATACTTTGGTAAATTATGTAACCTTTCAGATAAAGAAATATTGCAGAATGTGCCACACATTGCTTGTAAAGATGCATCAAAATGAAAAGGAAACTATGTGAATATTTGTTATCGTGGCGGTCGTAGTGGTAGTTCAAGAAATAGTTTTAATGTCAGCAGTAAATGTTTTTCAAGTCCAGGGATAGAAAACTATTTACAAGTTGTTAAGTTTTCGTAATGTTCCAATTTAATGGCCAAACACTGAGGTAACATCAGTGCGGGAATGTGTTTTACTTATCTCACGATAGAGAAGAACAAAAAATAACAGGCTCAGCTCCCTCAAACTTCAATATGTCTATTTTATCTCAACGTTATTTTCTCACGTGTTTCAGAATAGTATTATCTTCTTTGTTTATATTCAAGTGTTATTGTATCAGAGTAACACCGGCCCATGCTAGAGTCTGACGGTTTCCTGTACTTGTTCGCAGTGCAGCAACTGTGATGCTGGTTACATTCAGACACCCTTTCAGGGCCTCAGGTAACATGCAGGCACTCCTTGCATTTAGGTGGAGTACCCTATAGAGAGAAGGTTTCCATGGATTTCTGTGAGTGAGTGTGTGAGTTGAGTTTAACGTCACTTTGAACAAGCTTCCTGCTACAACACGTCGCGTCAGCTTAATTTGGGAGGTATGCCCGAAGTGATGCAGGTCTCAGACGTTTACCACTTTGGTGAACCAATGAGCACGTTATGGTGCTGACAAACCTAGAAAGATAATTGGCGCGATCCGGGATTCGATCCCACAATCATAGGTTTGTAATATTTCCGTAGGCCCATCACATAAACACAGGTACATTCCATGTCCGCTTCAATCACTTTCATCATATATCTTCACTGACATCAAATGTGTCAATGTGGCGGCACAACTGCAATACTTTCAGCACAACACAATTCATGTGGGGATTTAAAACTATTATATTACAGAGAAGAAACGAAACATGTCAACAAATTCATGACTTTTGATGAATTTGTGCACTCAGTTTTTTGGTGTGCCATTTCCCAGAAATGTAGGAAATGTGTGATAAACTGATCGATGTTTCTAATACACCACAGAAACTAGTCAAGTAGAAAACAACACATTTAGCTGACCTTGTTACATTCTTGTACACAAAAAAAAAGAAAATAGACACGCAACTTCTATGTCCGCCTCAGTCAATAACCTCACATTACATTTGACCTTTAAAATAAATATGTCACACTTACAAGTTTACACAAAGTCATTTTTATTTTATTTCCTATGTGAGCGCGTTATAAATAAGTGACTTCTTGGAGTCAGTCATGGTGATGTCCATATCTAAATTGGCATCGCCACCTCCTCTAATTCAATGTTCAGAGATATGATCTTTTTTTTTAGAACGTTTTTTCAATTTTACTCAGACAAAAGACCAAAAACAGATACAAAATAGATTAATTTCTAATTCCGTGTGTCACACGGTCACTGTGTTTATAACCGTTCTCATGAGCGATACAGCCAATTCATAAGTCTAATGCAGTCTGATTGGCGGCATTTCGACGTCAATACACTAGTTGATTATGAAATATGCATACAAATGACGGCTCCGATTACTTAGTGTTTGCTAGAGCATTCACCGCATCAGTAGGCATGCATTAGGCACAATGCCCTGTTGACATTCAGTGTCTCCAGAATAAGAAAGGCAGTCTAGGAAAACGTTCTAACAACCAGCATCATTATTCAATACTACAATATCACAACATGTGTCTCAAGGAATCTTTATCTTTAAATATTCAATAATCAGTTGTAATGTGATTGCCTGTTTTAATTCAAATACATCATGGATCAAGTGTAAATGCTTAGGTTTAGTCTATTTATTTTCGTGAAATCAATGTGCCATTATTGATAAACTGTTTGCATTATTACAATTTTAAATACAATGTTCTTGTTGTAATAGAGACAATGCTCTTCTCTGTTCCAGAATGGACACCTTCCCGAAGTGTTCTGTCTGTCAGCTGCAGTTTACCCTGAAAGGTCCAGTCCCCTACTTACTGCCCTGTCTACACGCTGTGTGTGAGACGTGTGTGACATCTGCGGCTGGTGGTGTGATATCATGCTCCACATGTCAGAGGGAGGTCAACCTCGCAGACACAAGTCTCCAGAAGGATGCAGTCAGACAGAAGGAAATATTCCACCTGACCGTCAAACATCGCCCCACAGAGCTTCTCTGTACACATGAAAATGATGGCAATCAGGCTGTGTGTTGCTGTCAGGAGTGTGAAGAGTTCCTCTGCGAATACTGCCAGAACTTGCACAATGGTTTTAAAACTACCAGGCGACATGTTGTTGAAACCTTTCGGGATACGGGGGACATGTTTGTAGAACAAGTATGCAAACTTCACAATCGTTATCCTCTTGAATATTTTGATAAACACTGCAACATTTCAATTTGTGCCAAATGCAGGCTTGGCGAGCATTCCGAGCACGGCGTTGAGGATTTAGATGTGGCTGCTGATGCTGCAAAAGGACGGATAGAACAACATGGGAAGAATGTGACTGCCCATCATACTTATCACCAAGCATATTTGAAGAGCGTCAGCAAAGTCGTAAATGACATAAAGAATACAAGTAGTGCTCTTAAGGAGGCCATCCACCACACTTTCCATTCTCTGAGGACACAACTTGATCAAAGAGAGAAGGAGCTGGTCATAGACCTTGAGAATCAGACGAAACAGGAACTGTCAAAACTGCACACTGTACAAGTTACCTCTGAAGGCGAGAGGGAAAGATGCAAGTGGACTTCAGACTACATCAGGACAGTGCTCAGATATGCTTCAAACTCTGACTTTCTCACACTGGAGAGTTCGATACAAGACACAGCGAAGACGCATCTCAGATCAGTTCCACCTGAGACACACAGTGCACCGGCATCCAGTTTCAACACAGGGGGCCTGGAGAAATTGAAATCCTACATTTCTGACTTTGGGTCTGTCAATGAAGATGGATCAGCTGCTCAGGCACATACACATGCAGGTACTTGCTTCTTACTTTGGCGATAGTTCATTTTGTATATGAAGATTGATTGAAGCTATGAATAAAACAAACAAAGAGTAAGTATTTGAAAACTTTGCTTATAGAGGTTGGTAGAACACAAAAAGATGACATTAACATTTTTTATTGATTACTACTGAATGCTGTGTTATCGTATTGAGTTAATATGTCATTTCAAACAATACAGAAGATTCGTGTCTTCTTCTTGATGTTTAGTTTAAGATTGCTAATGAGCTATCTATACATTAAGGTTGCTAATGAGCTATCTATACATTATCAACAACGACTCAGGGAACAGTCAAATAGTTCATCGATTTGCAACAGTTGTGTGTATTTATTGTACAGATCAAGGCACACAGACAGAAGATAGCCATCTAACTGACCTGGAAAACAAATACAAAGATGTAAGTATTCTCATTCAGCAAACGTGTGTAGATACGAATCGTTATTTCTGATGTATTAAATTTAGCATTTCACGATTGACTTGGTACATGTCATGTTCGTAATAGTTTGTACATTAAAGTGACGCCTGTACCTCATATTCAAAACAAACCTACTGTTATGTGATTCTTGGATTTTCTTTTGTTCTCAGCTGAAAGTGCTGGAGGTAGCTGACGATCCAACGCCATTGGCAAGTTTTGGTAAGATACGTTTCATTGGTTTGAAAACAATAACAATACAAAATAACGAAGCTATGTATATCCCTTTAGTTTTCATGCTATATTTCACAGGCTATATTTTCAAAAGCTCAAAATGCCAAAGCTCAAATAGGTTTGAATTATCTTAAGATTACTTTGTAGGCTTTTTCCAAATATGAATTTGAATAATTCAATTTTTCACAGATTTGAATTTTCAATTTGACATGATATTATGATATTTGTAAATTAATGGTTAAAGATCTAATACACAATGAATCTCCATCAGTAATGTACAGCAGTTGAAGGGGGAGGAAACTTAGATTGGGATTTTTTTTTAAGCCACTGAAGTAATTAAACGGCCCCAGATTTGTCTTGGCAGATATTTTGTTGTGTACAAAGATGGTGTATTCCGCTCGTGAAACCAACAGAGTTCTCAACATCTAACTTTAAGTTATATATGTGTGAGCGCGTTTATGTTTGTTCTTTTATCTAGAAATTGTTTTGCAGATGCGGGTGTTAAAACCTACACTCTGAAAACAGGAACGAGGACACCGGTGACTCTGCAGTGTGAGTACAATCAGA